TCCCCTATCTATCCCCATGCACAAAGGTTAATTCCAAATGGATCAGAGACCTAAATGTAAAACCTCAAACCATAAGAACCTTAAAAAATGAAGGAAAAACCCTCATGGAAATCGGAACTGGCATCCAATTCCTGAACAAAACCCAAAACCCACAGCTCATAAGAGAGAAAATAGATAAGTGGGACCTTATTAAAATGACAAGCTTCTGCAAAGCCAAAGAAACCATCAAGAGAGCAGGAGACAGCCTACAGACTGGGAAAAAGTATTTGCCAACTCCAGGTTCGACAAAGGCTTAACATCCTGTATCGACAAGGAACTCAAACGTGCTGAAAAGAAAAAAACAAACAACCCCATTATAAAATGGGCAAAAGATATGAACAGACACTTCACAAAAGAAGACATCCGAGCAGCCAACAAACACATGAAGAAATGCTCAACCTCACTAATCATCAGGGAGATGCAAATCAAAACCACACTGAGATACCACCTAACCCCAGTCAGAATGGCAATCATCAACAACTCAAAAAATAACAGCTGCTGGAGAGGGTGTGGTGAAAAGGGAACACTTCTACACTGTTGGTGGGAGTGTAAACTAGTGCAACCTCTGTGGAAAGCAGTGTGGCGATTCTTAAAAGCTCTAAATACCAACCTCCCATATGACCCTGCAATCCCCCTACTGGGAATATATCCTGAAGAACACAAATCACTCTATAAAAAAGATACCTGCACACGCATGTTTATCGCAGCATTGTTCACAATAGCAAGAACCTGGAAACAGCCATGCTGCCCGTCAAAAGAGAGCTGGATTAAAAAAATGTGGTACATATACACGATGGAATACTACGCAGCCATAAAAAAGAAAAAAATCGTGAATTTCGCAGCAACCTGGATGGAACTAGAGTCTATAATACTGAGTGACCTCTCACAGAAACAAAGATCCGAGTATCACATGTTCTCACTCATATAATGGAACTTAAATATCCAATGCAATACTATACGAAAATGACTGACCGTACTGGGAAACTATGGTGGGGGGAGGGAGATAGAATTAACAGTAGCAAATATCTGTCTGGGAACGGGGAAACACCCCATATCAACAGGGTGCCTGAATGAAACACAATTGTATACCTAACCCTTAACTGTACCCCACAACTTCACAATTAAAAAAAAAAAAAAAAAAAAAGGTTGTGGCCAATTTAGTTACTGGTGGTAGCTCTCTTCCTGTTTTGTAGAAGGCCACCTTCTTTCTATGTCCTCACATGACCTTTCATTAGTATGTGGGTGGGGGAGGGGAGGAAAGGGACACGCTCTCTGTTGTCTCCTCTTATAAGGATATTTATTCCTATAGCTCAGAGCCCCATCCTTATGACTTAATTTGACTTTAATTACTGTGTTTCCTTACTCCAAACATGGCCACATTCAGTGTTAGGACTTCAATACATTAATTTTAAGGGAACACAGACATTCACTCCATAACAGAAGGTATTTAAAGCCATGAGACTGGATGACACTACCAGGAAAGTGAATCAAGATAGAGGGGATCACCAGTATAGGCTTCACCCGGAGGCTGTTTAGAAATGCAGAATTCTAGGCTGGACATGGTGGCTCATGCCTATCATTCCAGCACTTTGAGAGGCAGAGGTAAGAGCATTGCCTGAGTCCAGGGGTTCAAGACCAGCTTGGTGAGACCTTGTCTCTACAATAAATAAAAAAAATAGCCAGGCGTGATGGTGTGCGCCTGTAGTTCCAGCTACTAGGAAAGCTGAGGCAGAAGGATTGCCTGAGCCCAGCTGGTCGAGGCTACAGTGGTCATGAGCGTGCTACTGCACTCCAGCCTGGGTGACAGAGTGAGACCCCTACTCAAAAAAAACCCCTTGATTCTGAAAGTTCCCGTCTTCACCCATCATGCAAGACTTAGAACGGTACATGTTATATGGAGGTAGACATTTAAAAGAGGTCCAATTGTTCAGAGAGCCTTTGGCTCATGGTACTCCTTGTTAGCCACCAAGTTTCATCTGCCCTAGCATTTTCCCTACCTAGTTGGAGCATTCTCTGAGCTCTCATCCCAAGTCCAAGCTGAAGTGTCCTAAACTCCTTCAGGTGCCAAGTAGCACTTATGTGGTTTCCCAGTTACAACTCCCAGTTTGGAGGTTACTTTCTCCAGCACTGTCTCCTGTGACTACCTAAATTATTGTTCTTCTTTCTCCAATTTCTTCTCAGCCTCTTGTCTGAAGGCTTGGATTCTATTTATGTTTCAGAACTGAAACACAAACCAATTTATCTTACTTATGCACTCGTAATATATCTTCATTATCCATTAACTCTGAACAAGAATCCAATGGTGGCTGGCCACGGTGGCTCATGCCTATAATCCCAACACTTTGGAAGGCTGAGATGGGAGGCCAGATCGAGACCATCCTAGGCAATGTAGCAAGACCTCATATCTACTTTCAAAAAACAAAAAAGAACCCAAAGGTATATAAAAACACCTTTAGTGTGGAACTGCTTAATCAGATTGTTGCTGAGAAAAAAGGACAGGGAAATACTTTCCTCCACAGCTTCTAAGATTCTACACACATAAAACCAACATGAATGGCCGAATAGAACAATATTGACATCAAAATTAGAGGAAGTACACTGTGAGCAAGTGTTTATTCAGCAAATTCTTCAAGTGGTGAAAAAAGTATATTTTTCAGTTTTGTTTTATATGGCACTGTTTCTATTTGTCAGTGAGTTTCATTTTACCCAAAACGTTGACACTTCCACACATATTCACAAACCAAAATTAAAGACAATTGTATTAACATAACAGGCACTTACTTTTACAAAGGAAATTCTTTGGATCTGGCACGTTTTGCAAGGTAGGTTCTTGGAACCATTCCAACTAGTGTATCAACAGTCTTCTCTAAAGTGGGCTAGAAAAGTGGTTTCATATCCAAATTGTAACTCTGAAAAACAATTGAGGGTAATAAAGAACTTGATGATCAGTCAGAAAAGCCAGAAACAATTTATTTGGTAAGAGTTCTACAGTAATCAAAGTTGGAAGTTTGTTCTAGGAAAAAGAAATATGACTTTAAAGATTTGGAAACAATTCTACTATAAACCCTGATTTGTCTTGTGGGCAGCTTCAGGTAGGTGGGCTGAGAACATCAGGAGATGGTTTCCACCTGGTTTCTGGGTAACTTTTTTTTTTTTTTTGTAGAGACGGGGTCTATGTTGCCCAGGCTTCTGACTTCCGGATAACTTTTAAAGAGCTGCCCGACTGCTAGTTGCCTCAAGGGACCTGAGGGGTCAAACCAGTTCCAGGAAGGTGGATCTAACCTTTTACAGTTTTGGAAAAAATAATTTAGGAGGAAAGGAAAGTCATTCAGAATGGAGGACTTCCTCTTCTGCCCCAACCCACCCCATCCTCCGCCGAGCCAAAAGGGCCAGTTGTCAAGACCCCTCTAGAAAGGGATCCCCCCACAGCCAGGGTGAACTCGCCGTTCCAAGTGTCTGCAGCAAATTTACTAAAGTTTTTGGTTCCACTGAAAGAATTAAGAATCAATACTGTTTGCCCCAAACTTGAAGATGACCTTGACTACATCTCGGGGACCGTGGAGACTGTAGACTCCACGATCTTGGACTCCCTTGTGTCTTAGACAAAAATGGTGTTGGGTTGACTCCCCTAGGGACCGGCTTTTCAGGGGCTCAGTGTGGGGGGCTTACCACGCCCTCACGGTCGACCGGCCCGAGTCCTCCCGGAGACCACCCGCGGCCCGGAAGCCAGCGAGCGGGACACCACGGCCGCACCCTCATTGGTTCCTGACGTCGGAAGTGCGTGCGTCCGGCGGAAGTGCTCCCCAGCGCGGTCCGCCTAGCCGGGGCCCTCAGGTAGGCGGGGCCGCTGGCTCCAAACGCTGGGACCGACTGGCGGGCGGGAGCCAGAGAGGGGACCCCAGGTCCCTAAGGAGGTTGTCCCGATTCTGATCAGGGAGGGCTCTCGGGAGTTTCGGGGGCGGCGGACGCACGGCTACCGCTGGTGGCAACCGGGGCCTGGTCGAGCCTGGCCTCGGCGGGACCTGAGTGCGGGAGCTCCGTTTCCCTGTGGGGATGGAATTTGGGGCTTCGGCCGGAGCTGCTACTTGATCCACGGCGGACGGTAGTGAGCCAGACGCCGCTCCTTTCAGCCGGGAAAAGGTGTGCACTCCGCTTTTACCGTGTCCGTGCTTTTCTGATTTTGCCAACCTTCCATCAAGACGTGTCAGGGGATGCGGGGTTTTCGTCAATGACACTCGGCCTCACTAGCAGTAACCTCAGAGAGGCTGCAGTCGGTGAGGAAACGCCCCGCCCTTGATGTCTTCCTAGGAAGAGATGGGTGTGTATCCATTGCTGGCTGCTCAAGTGGAAGTTATCTGGACTACTTTAGGGCAAGTTCTTATAGCACATTCAACTACTCGTTAATGGTTTTCCTTTTTCCAGCCATCTCCACCCCTAGGTGGTTTGAACTTTGAGCTTCCGTAGTCCTGATGAACAGTTTCATTTTCCTCAAGCTTATGACACTCGGAACTTCGAGAATTGGAGGTCTATGCAATTTGAGACCGGCCAGCACTTTTCAAAATTCAGAGTACTGAGAGACAGGTGAGCATGCATGAGTACCTCTCCAGATTGCAATATCGGAGAGCCATTTGTGTAGTTTCCATAAAAGTGCACCACCTTTACTGAATACTAGGTGGTGCCAGCGAGTTCATCTTTCTGTGATAAATTTCAAATAACGTAGATCCAGGTTAATTTTAGTGTCCCTTTGTCACTGAAATTTAAACAGAATAGCTTTACCTCCTTTAACTATATTGAGCCTTTCTATACTTAATCAAGTTATTGAATGTCTATTCTGTATTAGGTGCTGAGAAAGCCAAGAGAGGAATCAGACTCATTTTCCATTCTCTAGAATTTAGTCAAGAGAAGAAGATAGACAAACAATGAGTTATTATCAATTCAAATATACAGCCAGGCATAGTGGCTCACACCTGCAATCCCAGCACTTTGGGAGGCCAAGGCAGAAGGAGTGCTTGAGGCCAGGAGTTTGAGAACAGCTTGGGCAACATAGTGAGACCTTCATCTCAACAAAAAATCAAAAAATTAGCTGGGTATGGTGGCATGTGCCTATAGTCCCAGCTACTCTGGAGACTGAGATGGGAGAATCACTTGATCCCAGGACTTGAAGGAGAATAAGACCCTGTCTCAAAGAAACAAAAAAAATCAAATATAATTCAAGGCAGAAATAAATGCTAAATAGAGAATAAGATGTGGAATGCTAAGGAAGAAGCAATCAATTCTCATTCTTCTAACAATTATTTCTTCAGTACTTTTTTTTTTGAGTTGGAGTCTCACTCACTCTGTCACCCAGACTGGAGTACAGTGGCTGCTCCCGGCCACTGCAGTCTCGACCTGCTGGGCTCCGGCAATCCTTCCGCCTCAGCCTTCCAAGTAGCTAGAACTACAGGTGCACGCTACCATGCCCGGCTAATTTTTTGATTTATTGTAGAGATGAGGTCTCGCCAAATTGCCCAGGCAGGTCTCGAACCCGCAGGCTCAGGCAATCCACTCACCTCACCCTCCCAAAGCGCGGGATTACAGGCTGAGCCATTGAGCTCGGCTTTTCAGTACTTTTTTGTGTGTCCAAGATTGTGCCAGATGTTGGCATATGAGGAAAAGGTAAAATGTCTACTCTCAAATAATCTTCAACCTAGTGATTGGGAGGAAATCAAGGAAGGCCTTATAGAGAAAGTGACACAAGTCGGAACTACAGGCATGCACTACCACTCCTGGTTAATTCTCAATTTATTGTAGAGACAAGGTCTTGCCAAGTTGCCTGGGCTGGTCTTGAACTCATGGACTCAAGCAATCCACTCGCCTTGGCCTCCCAAAGTGCTGGGATTATAGGCTGAGCCGTCAAGCCTGGCCAGGATTAAAGTTTTGATGAGTAGTTATACCTAATATTAAACAAAATGTGTTTCCTAAAAGGAATGTAAGTTTAATTTTTGAAAATGGAAAACTTATATGCTATAAATTTTCTTTTTCTTAGAGATAGGGTCTTGTTCTGTCACCCAGACTGAGTACAGTGGCACAATCATAGCTTACTACAGTCTCAAACTCCTGTACTCAGGTGATTCTCCTATCTCAGCCTTCTGCGTTGCTTGGACTATAAGCGGGCAGCACCATGTCTGGCTAATTTTTTTTTTTAATTGAAGCTAGACACAGAGCTCATACCTGTAATCCCAGCACTTTGGGAGGTGGAGGTGAGAGGATTGCCTGAATCCAGGGGTTCGAGACCAGCCTGAGGAACCTGGTAAGACCTTGTGTTTACAGTAAATCAAAAAATTAGCTGGGCGTGGTGGTACATGCCTATAGTTCCAGCTACTTGGAAGACTGAGGCAGAAGGATCGCCTGAACCCAGCAGGTTGAGGCTGTGGTAGCCATGAGTGTGCCACTACACTCTAGCCTGGGCAACAGAGTGAGACTTTGACTCAAAAAAATTTTTTTGTAGAGATGAGGGTCTCTCTGTGTTGCGCAGGCTGCTCTCAAACTCCTGACGCCAAGTGATCCTCCTGCCTTGGCCTTCCAAGTGCTAGGATCACAGGCATGAGCAACAATACCTGGCCTAAATGCTGTAAATTTAATGGTAAGTGGATCCAATATCAACACACCAAAATCAGTAGCTTTTCTCTATTCCAACAACAATTAGAAATTGTAATAATAAGAACCTTCTCAATATTAACAAGAAATGCAAAATATATAAAAATAACCAATGTTCAAGGCCTATGTGAATAAAACAGTACTTTTTAAATTAAAGATCATAAAAGAAAGCCTAGGTAAATGGAGCGGTATATTCCTTGATAGAAAGATCCAGATTTTAAGATCCAGATTTTCTCTATTGAACTTTAATTTCAATGTAATCTCTGTTAAAGTTTCAGTAGGATTTTTTTTTTTTTTTTAGTCAGAGTTTTACTCTGTGTTGCCCAGGCTGGAATACAGTGGCACACTCACAGCTGCCACAGCCTCCACCTGCTGGTCTCAGGTGATCCTTCTGCCTCAGCTTTCCAAGAAGCTAGAACTACAGGTGTGTGCCACCAAGTCTGCCTAATTTTTTTTTTTTTTTTGAGTTAGAGTCTCACTCTGTCATC